ACCTTTATATATTATATAACCTTGGGATTAAGTAATAAATACATTATTACTGAAAGACAAATGAATAACACTGATTATCCTTCATCCTGGCACCTATTAGTGGGTGGGATATATTAGGGAGCAAGTGAACATTTTGTCCCCAAAGTTGATGTGTTACAAGCAGGAAAAATGGGCATGAGGATTTTGAGCGAGTTTGACAAACGCAAAAGCGCACTGATGCATGGGGGTGAGCAAAGGCTGGCCTGTGGTCATGTCCAACAGATGCAGGTTAAATTGACAAAAAAAAAGTTCATGCTGGTTTTGACAGAAAGCTGTCAGAATACACAGTGCATCACAGTTTGTTGTGCATGGGGCTGCAGACCAGTCAGAATGCCCACTCTGACTCCTGTCCACTGCCAAAAGTGCCAACAATGAGCACATGAGCAGAAGAACTGGACCACACAGCAGAGGAAGAAGGTGGCCAGGCCTGATGAATCATGCTTTCTTTTACATCACGTGGATGGCCATGTGAAAGTGCATTGCTTATCTGGAGAACACCTGGTACCAGCAGGATGCACTATAGGAAGAGGGCAAGCCAGTGGACGCAGTGTGATGCTTTGTGCAATGTTCTGAAACTTTGGGTCCTGCCATCTATGTGGATGCCATTTAATTATCAGTTATTAGTCATCTCTGGGTCCTGTGTTAATCCCCTAAACCCAAATGTTCACGTCAGATGTCTGCCCCTTCCTGAGCCTGATTTTGCTGGAGATTTCTTCCTGTTAAAAGGGAGTTTTTCCTTCCCACTGTCTCCAAATCACTTGTTCATAGGGGATCATATGATTGTTGGGGTTTTCTGTTTTCTTTGTGTTATTATAGGGTCTTCACCTTACATATATAAAGTGCCTTGAGGCAATTAAGTTGTTACCATTTGGCACCATAAAAATAAAATGGAATTGAATGTTACTTTGACACGTACCTCCTACCTTTTACCTACAGTAAAAGGAGACCAACATAATATTAGGCAGGTGGTCATTTGTTGTGCTCAGTTCAACAGTGTTGCTTTTTAGCCTGTTTTGTATTGTTTTGGGTTTTTGTTAAAGAGGAATGGTGGAGACAGAAATAAAGCTACATAAACAGTGAATGTGAGTCTGGCCTGCTTTCATGAATAGAAACAAAGTAATTGAAATTTCTGTCTCAAAAAGAATAGAAAAAAAACACGTATGGAAAAAAAAGTTACACGATAGCGAGACTGAGGCTAACTTTACCAGTTTTCTCAAGTAACAATGAAAGAAATGTAATATTGCACTTTGTAAAGGCCTCAGTGCTCCTTTAGTTCTAAAGTTGTCTTTATGTCCAAGTGGCTGCATTCATGCAGAGCTTCGGCTTGTTCTTAAGATATCTGCTAGCCTTTCTCCTGTAAGTCCAGAGTATTCTTATCACATTGAAACTGTGCTCTTGTATGCACAGAGTAAAAATTAAGCAATCATCAACCCAGAGAGACGTAAAGAGATGAAATCAAACAATCTGTGCTTGCAAAGAGCACAGCTGCTGTTATTGAGGACAAACAAATGAGACAGATAGGATCCATCAGGACCATGATGAATCCTTAAACACATACAAAGTGATAATCAGACAGTCTGTGTTAAGCTTCTATGTTTTTTTTGTTTTTCATTTTTGCTGATATGAGCAAATCATAGGTGACATTGGTGATAGCATGATAAGAACTAGTAATTCCTAGAAGTAGCGAAAACACACATTAGTGATGGTACATTTCTTTAGGTGTCCCAGTAAGACAGTATGACATTAACAGCACAATAAAGGGTTAAATGTGATTGGTTGATCATTCATTTCTTATATAGACCTGTGATTTCTGTCCTCTCTTTCTCCAATATGAAAAAGCCCAGTATAAAGATTCTCTACAGAATGCATAAAAAATATTGTAAAACAGACCGTCTACAGTAAGAAAACAGTAAAGAGTAAAAATACATAGGCATAGAATAAGCAGCAATTTAATGGAGGTAAACGTTAACAAAATGATTCACACAGTCACTGGCCACCTTGTTAGGTGTACCTGTTCAACTGCTTGTTAAGGCAAAGAGCTAATACATAGCTCACATAGCAGGAAAACAGGATTGTTTAAGCATGTAGACATGTTCAAGACAAGCTACCAAAGTTCAAACAGAGCATCAGAATGGAGAAGCGAGGGGACTTAAGAGAGTTCGAATGTGGCGTGTTTGTATTTCACAAATTGTAATCTACAGGGATTTTAACACAGCCTTGTCTTTTTTTTACAGAATGTCTGAAATGTGAGCAGCAGTTCTTTGGACCACGTTGATGCTAGAGGTCAGAGTAGATTAGCTAAAGGAAACAGTAACTCAAATAAAGACTCATCACAACCAAAGTATGCAGAAGAGCATCTCTGAAGACACCAAACCCAAACCTTCAAGCAGTTGGGCAGAAGACCACATGTGCCACTCCTGTCAACTAAGAACGGGGAAGTCTACAACAGAAGACAGGAAAAATGTTGCCTGAGCCTCAATTTCTGCTGTGACATTTGGATGGCTATGTCAAAACTTGGCATAACAACTCGGATCCATCCTGCCTTGTTTCAGCAGTTAAAACTGTTGTTGGTGTTTTATTGGTGTATGGGGATATTTTCCTGGCATACTTTGGGCCCCTAGTACCAACCGAGCATTGTTTTAACACCACACCTGAGTATTGTTACTGAAACTGTGTGATGCCTCAGAACTGATTAGGACAGTTCTGAAGGCAAAACAAGGTTTACTAGCAAGGTTTACCAAACTCGTTTACCAAACAAAGTGGGCAATGAGTGTATTTAGTAAATTATTAAATTATTGGAACAACATTCTTTTCTGTCATTATCTGAAATGTCACCCTCAGATCTTACAACATTCCCAGAAACATCAGGAGCAGATTCAGCATCTTCTTGCCATATGATGTATTTACCACTAATGCAACCTGGAGGCTTTGCATAAATTATTCTCTGGAATAGGTGAGGTTCACTATAAACATTGATTTCATCAGTAATAGTTCAGACTTTTCATAAAAAGTGCATATTTTAAATAGTGACATCAGTGTGATATCATCAGGACTCGCTGTATTCTGAGGAGCTCCACCTTTATAGGCTACATTACAGTGTTTATAGATGTTTATAGATATTCGTTCAGATAGATGAACGGATTTGCATGTGTAAAACCAGTGGGCGTGACGTTGGCACTGGAGTAAATTACCTTCCACTGCAGCAAGCCTGAGATGCACTCTCACATACACACACACAAATTTCACGGACACCCATTAGAAATGTAGCTTCCAAGAAACCAAGTGATGATATCTAATAAGAAGTTTTGCCCACCTCTTTCTGTCTTTTCTTCCCCTTTGATCTCTCCACCTCCCTCGCCGTGTCTTTCTTCTGATAAGCCTCAAACTATCCGTCCTGCTTTCCCCTCCATCCACCGCCCCCTCCTCACCACCCCGCCTTCACTCTGCTGCTCCCTCTCGCTCTCCCCACCCCGCGAATCTCTAGCATGTTATTTAAGCCAAGGACAACATTAGCATGACGATCACAGCCTTCTATCACAAGTCTTGTCCGACAAGACAAGAGGAGGAGGAGGAGGGGGGGTAGAGCTACTAAACGTGTGGGGAGTAAGGGAGGAAGCCAAAGGCATATAAACGGTATAACATGGTCTGAGAGAAATCAAAGACATTCTTGATTAAGTAAGACAAAGTAAGTCTCTATAAGTCTCTATACACCAGAGGAACATTGTTTACGTGCCATATGTTGTTAGATCTACATGAGAGATAGCGAAAGATAACAGCAATTTTGACACGTGTTAAGAGACAGGCTTACAAAGAGACTCACAAATCATGCCCCTGTTCATATGTACAGTTCTTGCATCATGATACAAGCCCCTCAGTAAAATCTAATTGTACTGCATGTATGGTTTCCGTACCATACATGAAGCGTATTTCTTTGCAGGGGCACATAAGCATTTCTCTTCACATCTCCTGCTCTTCTTCTTTGGCTAATACTCCTACTTATAGGCCTATCTATTACAACAGGAAATTAAAACACTGTTAATTGTATCATAAACACACATCTGTGTTGCTAAAATCAGATTAATTTTTAATGAAACAGCTGCCTCCCTGGGCCAATTTCTCCCTTTGCCAAACCACCATGGCCTCACCTACCACGGCCTTCAGTCTTCAAGCCTCACGGTGAATCATCCATGTGCTTTATTGACTCTTTGTTGAGCACTTAAAAAAACACACACACACTTATTTATTCAAAGACACGGGCAAGCGTCATATACAAGGATGGCAGCTACTCATTTGGCACTGCAGCACACAAAATAATTTGGTTTCTTTAAAAGATAGAGGCTCGAGACATCCATTACTCACCTTTCATAACACCCTGCAGTACTCATGTTAAGCCTGGGTCCTCACAGCCAACAGAGAAGGAGATTGGGGGTTTGATATTTCACATGGCTTTCAGTCACACGAATAATCTGATGGTTGTGAGGCTGAAGAGAGAGCTGTGTGGCCTTGGGAAAGAAAAAAAAATCCAGCTGCATATTAAATGTGCTCAGGCGTTTCACGGCCTGTCAAATCAGGGTGCCGTTTGTGATGCGCAGAAGACACAGTGTCTCATTTCCTGCAAGATATGTGCACGTGCAGATGCCTGTGCATGTATGTGGACAAAAGTCTGGGCATGCACCACACACACTCGCACAGCAGCAGCAGCAGCAGGAACAGCAGTCAAGCCTGTTATCACTTGATTCCTCCCCCATGGTGAGTCCAAAAGACATCTCAATTTTCATCACGCTGGCAGAAGTTATAAAAGAGAATTATGAAGAAGAAGAAGAAGAAGAAGAAGAGGGAAAAAACAGGCTTTTGCGATCACTTGGATTCATATTCACATATGTTAAATGCACTTTCACACACATACACACAGGTGGCAGGCACACAAACACAAAGCCAAAGACGCGCTCGTCCGTTGCATGGTGAAAAAATACATTTATTGGAATCTGTGTCAATGTAGAAAAAATTGAAAACTGGCTTTAGGTTTTGTCACAGTACCACAGGTGAATATTCCAGCAGGCGCCTGGTGAGCCGAAACGAAGCCAGCTAGCTTGTTTGGGGCAGTACATCTGTTACTGATGGCGACAGAGAAGGTGGCCTATGGCGGCCTGTGATACCAAACACACCGTCTCACAGACACTGAAAAGCTCGGGCTGCTCCTAAGACACACCACCAGCAAATGCACATGTTGTACAGCAATTAACCTAGACCGATGTTCTCTCGGTTTAATGTGGGATGATTTCGTTGTGATACTGTTACAAATCCCTTTCCAATAACTATAAAGCCAGGGCCGCTGGCTGCTAGCATCCAAGGTGGCTCAAAGGAGCTTGTATTGTATGATCAATTGTGGGCCAATGTTTTATAACCCATAAGCTGAACCCATAACATCCCATTTTGTCCCAGTCCCTGGCAATAACTCCAATGGCCCTGTGCAAAGCTATGAGGTTCATGCATCATCTTTGATGTCTACCATTGCCTTCCTTTACTGTTCAAAGCCTTGCCATTCAACCAGAAGGACTGTCACATTAATATTTTGCTTTCTTTCTCTGAATTTCTTTCCTTAATTCAGGTCTGTCTGAACAAGCACTTCTATTATAACGACACCGTAAGTGACAAATACTATTCTGGCAGGCCAAACGTTATAATGGGTAGTGCATTTCTATTTCTGATATGACAGGATAAGTCTCACAACACACGGCGAGTCTGCATACTTTATGAAGTCGACAGAAAAAAAAGGCATTTGAAAACAAAAAGGACATTTCTAAACTCAGATACTGAGCATTATAACACTGAGAGGTCAGTTTTTTCCCATACAACTTTCTTTTACATAGACTTATTTTATTCTTAAATATCTTAAATCTCATAAAAAATAATTCATCAGAAACCAATTCTATATACACCGACAAAAAGTGCACGAGATGGATAGAGAGGTGGTGCGCATGCTGAGGTGGTTTCGCGAGAGTGGGCTTTGCTGTGAGATTATGCTTTGGATGTTGTTTTTTTTATGAAGTGTTGGCTGGTCTGATGAAATGTATGATTTGTTTTGTCTGGAGCATTGTATTAAATACTATCATTCATAAAACAAACAAGCGCTTCTAAATCAACACGGAGACTCTTTTGGCTTCTCTTTCGAGAGGCAATTCTTCAAAGAGAGTGTGACCTTCACGGTTTAAAAAAAACAAAAAAAGAAATGATCCACATTTCATCTGTTAGCAGTCCTGACAAAAGCTGTCACCAAAGCAGGACATATGATTTTACTGACTGGACTCCTGAATAAATGTAAGAATAAAGGGATAGCTTATGCTTTATCTTATTTTCTGTAATACATATATTGTTACAATGTCAAAAGCAATCTTGAAACCTCTCTAAATGTTTTTTTTCTAGTGTCGACTCTGTTTGATTCAGTGAGGGGGGTATCAGCTTTGGCTGTTACTTTTGGCCACACATGTGCTGTTTCTGAAGGGCAACCAATCAGGAGAAAACTGGGTGTTCTGGGCTAAAGCAGTTGCCCAGAAATAACTGCACTAAAGCCTGGTATAAGATAAAGAAGGATTCATTTAAACTATGAATCTTGCAAAGATGACTCTAAGATTGAAGATTAAAAAAAAAACTATGAAGCTGTAAATGAGCATAATGGGTCCTTTTTAAAGTGATGCAACATGAAGGTCACAAGAGCCAAATAGTACTGTTGAGAAGTGAAATAATCCACAAGTGCTTCAAAAAAGGACACATGGCAAGCTGCATTGGGTCGAGTCAAATGATATGTCTGTGGAAAGGCATTCATTTACACCATTAAAACACAGCTACATATAAGCATGCATGCGTTGGAGCTTTTATAAGGCAAATTATAAATTTATAAAACACAACAGGGCCGAATTTGCTCTGGTGCCTGCCATGTATCATTTTTTTGGCTTCGGCCAATGTCGGGTGAGTCTGAAATATTTTATTAGCATTTTAATAGGAGGGAAAATTGCAGGACGCTGGGCTGGTTTCCCAAAGTTATGTTGATGCAGCTTGCTGTTATTGTTGTTGCTGTTTTTTTTTTTTCTAGATTGATTGTACAGAGAAACATAAGCTGATGTGATACCGTCACATGAAGCGTGTGCAAACTGAGCTGAATGGAATAAAAACCAGCACACCGGTTTGGCAATGAACTTTGCTGTGAGGACCTGGCTCTTTATGGCACAATGGATCCAATGACTCACTGACAGTAACTTTCTACACACAATGCTGTTGCTGCTGATGTGCCGTTATTCTCTCCAGAACAGAAAAGAAAAAGAAACACAACAGTGAAGACATCATATAGACAGCACGATCAATACTGACCTGGATAAGAGGATGTTTAATTTCACTTCTCTTTTTCTGTTGCTTTGAATTTTCACAACTTAACTGGCATCCACACATCTCTTGTAAGCAACAGTATCTTTATATATATTTATATATATTTCTTTTTTTTAGAAAACTCTAGTAGATATTCACAGTTGCTTGACCGAATGGCAAAAATACCCATGAAGTCTAAAACTGCTGGTTTAGTTGTCTAAAACATGGATGCCAAGAAGTTCTTTTAAGTACTGGAGGTTCACTGTCATCAGAGACTATTTGACGTGTTTCAAAGTGTAAAAAATATCTTGCAGCGTGTTGCCTTTGAGCGTTAACACACACAAATTCATACGTACAACCATTCATTTTCTTGTATATATAGAGAGAGATAGATCTGTAGTAATATGGAACAGTGGCGACACCTTCGATTACATCTGAAGGCGCCATGCGACACACGTTTTCACAAATTCATTGTGATGGAAGAAATTCGGTTTCTGTCAGTGGATGCCCCCTGAAGGAGAGCGTTCAAATGGAATTCTGTACAGTAAAACAGCACACATAAAATCAAGAGGACATTAAAATAAAAAAATATCCCACGCTGATTGTGATGTTTTAAAATGTTATACAATTCTTTGTTTTTTTATTATCCTAGAAGGGGAAGCAGGAATGCTGCCTGCATCCCCTCTTCTCAGTCTTCCCACACTACACAGTAGTTTCATTCTTCCAGGGTCCAGTGCGTATATTTCCTGTGCTGTCTGACGTGTAGAGGAGACCCTCATGCAGGCTCCCCTTTAGAATCCCGTTCTGATTGGGCGGGTTCTGAGGGTAAGATTGTCTGCGCGGGGCGTGCATTTCCAAATGGTGATGTGTTGCCACGGGGTCCTCCTCAGCCACTTTGCCGCAGCCGCACAGGAAGACGCCCGTGTCTCCTGCTTCTGCCGGGCACAGAGAAGGGAAAAGGTCTGCCTTGGCACAGCAGATGTGCCTGTGGCAGGGATTATGGCATGCCAGGGACTCTGCAGCAGCGTGGCATGTGTGATGCACGTCATGGTGGCCTTCGTGGGCCAGGTGTGGACAGATGTGGGCGTGGCGCTCGTGTGTGCTGTGGGGGCTGTCAGTGTGTAAGCTGTGCACGCTGCCTCCATCCACACTAGAGGGGATGTGATAGGCGTACTCCCTCTCACTCCCCGCTCCACAAGCACCGGCCCCATCCCTGCGGCTGAGATGTCGGCCTTTAGTCCTGGCACTGCTCTTTAGGCAGGGGTGCAACTGGATCCCCGGCCGGTAACCCTCCGGGTCAGCGTGCAGCAGCACATGCGTGGCCGCGGGCTCTTCTTCCATAAGCTGCTGGCTGTGCAGTGCGGCACAGCACGGCGTCACTGGCGCTAGACACGTCATGTGATTTTGTGAGGAAGGAAGGGCAGCGTGTTTACAGTGAGCTAAGCTGCCATGGCCACAGCTTAGAGCTTTAGCCTGACAAGGTGAGTCATGGTGGCAGTGGCTGTGGCCGTGGCCGTGCCCGGGGGTATCTCCGTTCACGTTGACTTTGGGCCGCGTTTGAGCGGGCGCGGGGGCACCAGAGGAGGCGTCGGCGCTTCGTCCAGGACAGCAGGAACACCAGCAATGCCAAACATCGTCCCGCTTGGCACAGTGATGGATGAGGACGAAGAGGCCGAGGGTGACGGAGAAGGCACCATAAAGGCAGCTGAAGATCATGTCCAGGAAGTGGCCCTGTGACACAGCTAGTGCCCCAAAAGTCCAGGTTGCCAGGAAGAGGAATAGGGTGAAGGCCGCTGTTCTTAACTGAGCCTTGAAGGAGTGCTCGTTGGCCAGCAGCGCGGGGTTGATGGGAATGCCAGGGCAGCCGGCGGGGCAGTGGCTCCCGCTGGGCGGTGGAGCCAGGGCTCCGGGCTCGGCTCCCTGGTGGCAGTGTGTCGGCACATCGACAGCAGCCAGCCTCTGCTGCTCCTCCGTCAGTTGCTTGAGCTCGTACTTCTTTTCAGGGTGTCGCCGTAGCTGGATGAATGTGCAGAGGAAATAGATGCACGTGACCAGGACGATGAAAGCTACGGGGCCAAAGAATGCTCCCAGACTGGGCTCCCACGCCATCCAGCAGCTGCAACACACACAAACACACCACTGCACTTTAATACCATAAGAAATATGGAACAATTCAAAGTTTACTTTCTGTTTGTAATCAAATGGTTACCTTCATAAAGTCACATCATCTTTATGTGTTTACTGAGAAGAGAGTAACTAAATGAAATACACATCCACCAAAGGGAGCATACGCTTGTGTCTATGTATACACCCGTCTAACAGCGTTTAAAGAAGATTAAATCAAATTTAATTTTTGGGAGTAAAACATAAAAAAACTCTTTATTTGCATAACAATGTGAAACATCATCTCAGACTGACTCAGGAAGAAGCAAATCTAGGACTTACTACAGCGCTTGCTCCCTGCTGCCATAGTTGTCTATATTGACAGCTGCCGTGACCCCGCAGATGATGAGGGGCACTCCACCGCTGACTAGATAAAATCTTTGAGGGTAATGGGGGGGGGGGGGGGGTAAAAAGAGAGAGTGAGACAGGGTCAGTAGGGCAAGAATATCAAAGTTGGAAGTGGAAAGACATTTACAAATCCTGTGTCACACATGTGGATTATAAAAAGACACTGTCAAAATAAGACTTCAGGAAGATTAAAAAAGCTGTCAAAGAAGGTGACAGATGAAAGATGCTGACTTGTGCTGTGAATGGACTGGTTACCACAGCAGATGGACACACACATTTGATTTGGCAGCTTTTTTTTTTCTTTTAAACACCACGTGAGAATTTGTCTCTCTTGGGAAAGCTTTTCTGTTTTGGGACAAATGTGTTAACCACTACAGTATGGAGCCACTGGTGAATGCAGCTTTATGAGTGTTTTAAAATAAATGAATGAACAAAGATCAATGATGTGTGATTGGAACTTGTCGGTGTGCCTGTGAACACACTCCATGGGAGGAATCGCCACCTACAATTTGTTTTCTTTGCCACAAATCAAAGTGTAAATTTTCCTATATAAACAAATCTGTTTTCCCGGCGATAAACTTGTCAGTGCTCATTTAGGGCATCTGCTATTCATCAGAGCACCGAATATGGAAAGAGAGTGCGGATTTAATAGGAAAGGGATGGCGGACTTATCAAAACTGGCTTATCAGACATACAGAAAACGGATTGTATGCTCGACTTCAGCTTTCATTATCATAAAGAGGGCAGGTCACTTAATAGACAAAATGAAAAAAACACTACACAACAATGAAGCACAGAGTTATACAGCTAAGTGTCAGTTATTTTCGCTTTCATAGCAACAACCCCAGAAATACAGCATTCGTGTTATGTTGTAAGCCACCAAGAAATTTAGCAGAACTACCTTTAATTTTAACACGTGTTTTAAGTGAATTAGCTCTGACCTCACTTGCCAACATAGCTGATGTAATGGCAGTTTATCCAATTAAATCAAGACTATATAAGGCTAGCTGGAGAAAAAAAAACCCAAACAAACAATAATATCAATGGGAGAAAGATGTGAAGCGGAACTAATAAAGTATGATCTTAACAACAGTGCATTATGCCCCTAGGTATTACCATGTTTAATTCTGTTTACTTTGTGTCGGATTAAATGTTCTCAAGGATGATATTCTAATGTTAACCGCAGATTATTCGGTGCTTTTTTTCCCCTCTCCTTGATCTTTCACATGTCAGCTACACTTATGCATGCGCACGGCAGGTATGTGAACCATGAAACTTGCATTGCAACAGTATATTACGATCCGTCAAGACTTCGGCGCAGAAACAAAGCTAATCCCCCAGCAGCTTCCTGTCCTTGGCTTTCCCTCCACTGTCATGCTATACAACAGTATGCTATTTCCTCTTCCTTCCTGTTCAATCTTAGCCTCTGTCATTACTCTAACCTTTCCACCACTCCATCTTCCTCCGTCTTCATCCTCAGTTTCCTCCCTTCCACCCCTTCTTACTGTGGCTCTCTCTCTCTCTCTGTCGCTCTCCCTTCCAATCGTTACTCCGTCACACAGCAGCCGTTCTGAAAATTCAATTACAATCAAGATGTTTGTCTGGGCTGGTCGGTGAGGGGTGGCTGGAGGTGAGGCAAAGACAGGGGGTTTTCGGGGGGAGCATTACTGGCCTGTCACTGTCTGTGTGAGTGGAACGGTTCTCCCGGGGGACCCTGCTCCAGCAGAAAGCCATTTACACACCCGTCAGCTAGATAAGCATAAATGAGAAGAGCTAGTAGATGTTAAAGCACCCAGCACTTTATAACCCTCATTCCCCTTTTATCCCTTCTAGGAAAGCCAGCATGTGTTTCCTTAAGACATGGTCCCAAGTGAAGCACATGTACAGAACATGCAGAAACTGTATCGAGAGCGTGAGATATATTTCATTCTACTTGCTGCCTCGTTTTTATTCGAAAAGGTCTACCGCATTAAAATTCTTGCTAATGCACCCATTCTAATATGAATATGCACATAAAATCCTGCCCCCCTTGAATGCACTCATCCTCTTTGTTGGCCAATCTACTTTTTTAAAAAAGCCTTCAAACTCAAACAAAACTGTGTATGCAGTCTTGTGCTTTTGAGTGAGTTTAGGAACAGCAATCATCTGATATAAATAGACCCTAAAGTGCCTTTTAGTCAGTAGCTACAGCAACTCCTCTTTTTGTTCCTATGCTTATGCACTATCTTCTGTTTTTATGACTGTGCACTGTCCTTTCTCTGGACCCTGTCCAGGATATACATAGCACAGCTGGGGACAACTGATGGTCATATTCAGCTCCAGCAGAGGGCAAGGGCTTTGGAGTAAAGCTGGAGGATGGAACATTAAGGCATAAATTTGGCATTAACCACAGTCCTGCAGGTCTGAATTCTCTTTAATGGGCAAAGTAAGCTGAATGAAGTGACAGTTCAACACTTTGGGAAATATACTCATTAGCTTACTTGCCAAGAGTTAAATGCACAGATTTATGCAAAGATTGATGCCACAGCCAAAAGAAAGCTGTGCCAGCTACCACAGCTTAGCATAAGGATCGCAAACAGAATAAAAACAACTCACAAAATAACACTCAAGGTTCTCAGTCATCCAGGCCATTGTAGTCTAAAGAGCTTGGAAAGAAAAGCGTCTGGACTTCTTTAAGTTGCTTGAACACATTTCACCTCTCATCCGAGAAGCTTCTTCAGTTCTAGGGTCAAATGGTGGAGAGCCCCAGATTTAAACCCAGTGGGAGTAACCCCCCAAGAGGGACAAAAGGACCCCTAATGATCCTCTACTTAATCACATGAGCCAAGGTGTGAAAACGAGTGTAGGTCACAATTAGCCAAGGTTTCGGGTGAGCTCATTGTGAAACCTAGCCCCACCCTATCACGTCCAGATGCTTTTATTTCCAAGCGCCTTAGATAACACTCAAGCAAAAACTCTGAACAGTCTATGTTAATTTCAAGTAGTCTTTTTCAAAGAAAGATGTTCTTCCATATACCATTTTATTTTCTGATACATTTTTTGCTACTTTTATCATGTGACAACAGCTTTGAGACACTGTCACAAATAAGAGGAAGCCTTAAAATCCCCCCTTAATCATAAAACTAACAGAGGACAGAACAAAGTCTGCAAATCACTTTGTTCAAAGCCTAAAAGAAGCACACGCAGAGACTTCTCCAAAAATCACAACACAACTTTATGTAGGTTAAGTGTAGCCGGATTCACTTTGCTCTGAAACTTCACATCTATTAAAAATGTGTGGTAGTCTTCTCATTCAAAATAATTATGCCCCAAATGCTGAATTTGATCAAATTCTGGTCAAAATCTTGTCAAAAACAAAAATAAACTTGACTGGTATACACTTTATACCAATCATACTTTCCTTAATGATTAATTATTTGAATAAACAAACATTTGATTTTATTTCAGTTGCAGTTTATTCAAAATTATTGCTTCATATTTATGAAGGCAAAGAATCACTTTTTGTTGGAGTTAAAGTATCAGAATTTCAGGAGCGGGACCACGCCTCCAAACACGCTCCTTCCGGTTCTCATCTATATATGTCCCCCCAGTTCTACAAGCCGTAGTTCTCGTTTACCTGCCCCACCCTCCCTTCCCTTTTCAATTCTTTAACTTCTTCACTTCTATTTAATACACGGGGATCTGCCAGGCCCGGGAGCTGCCGCCAGGCCCCTTCGAGGCCTTCCCCAAACTGCAGCTTAATTCATATCCAAGCCCTTCACCTTTATCTACTAAAACGCTATCAAACCTCAAATGAGGACGTGGGCCCAGCGAGTGAAAGTGCTCTTTAAACAGTTCATTAATCACCTGCAGCATCATACAGCAGCAGGATCCATGTGTGTGTCTCCAAAACAACAGTTTTGCACATATACACTTTACAACACTTTGCAAATATTGTAAGATTTTGTAAATTATATTTCATGTCACTAATCAAAACACATGGATGATATAATTGCAAAGAGCATCGTATTCTTTTCTCTATTTGAGAGAGGTGAGCTGCCAAAGGCTACAGTCGCTTAATTTGTTACCCGGTGGTTTTCCTCGGGTCGAGTATTGAGCACCATCATAATTGCTGGGACATTTTCCTTTCTAAAGTCACAAATAGTTTTCTGTCATGTCTAGTTTTCCACACAGTTTCAGTTTTAGAGTTTCACTGTAGGCTATTTGCAGCAGAGATATTTTTAGGTCTATGGATGCTTCCCAAGTAGATATAGAACATGACCTCTCAGCAAAGTACCCACTAAAATATAACTAACGCCTTCTTGGTACCATAAATTACTGTAACTGATAATTATACATGACACACAGACAGTAGATTAAAGTTGTTTTGGTTTATCTATTTATTTGGGTTATTTAGGGACTTGATGGGTGACCTTTTCCCTTTAAAACACACTGCAGCATCTCATGTGCTGGTTATATTTTAATTGTTTGTCCATCTAAATTAATATGAATAAATTTTAACTACTGTAAAAAGATTTAAATGAGTATTACAATACATTACATAATACATTACCTTAGATTTCTCCCTTGTTTCCTGCCATACATGTAGTGTTATTTTACACTTACATGACTGCACTTGTCATGTGAGTTTTCTTTTTGATATCACTGACACCGACGGCTGGTATAAGAAGTTTTTATCAATAATTGTCAGATATTTGATGGAGATTCTATAGTGAATCCTCTGTTAAGTTTTAGAGGAAAGATCAGCACTCATCACTCTGGATCGGTGTTAGTTAATAGCAAAAACAGAGGCGTTTAAGGTGTGCGGTCCAACATGGTGTGGCAGATTTTTGACAGGGGTCGGTGTAATGGTCGGCTGGATATGCCATCAGATGCTGTCAAGAGTGGAAAGACGGGAAAAGAGGTAGATGAGGAGAAATAGGTGGGTTGTTGGGAGGGGAGAGAAATTGATTTGTCTCCAGCTGCTAAGTCTCATTGCATGAGCCTGTCTGACGGGGAGCATTACAGTCAATCACTGTGGATCAACTTGACTGCTGTGCCACACAATCCCCCCGTCTGCCCCCAGACAAATTATCTCATTCACAAGCAGTGCATGATGGGAGAGCCTCCAGAACATTCCATATTAAACCCCTGAATCACGCAGGTGTCTGAGGATTTGCTTTGCAAGGAAAGTGCTGCTTATAGGTTGAGGGGATCCTTATCTTAGTGGCGTCCGTATCCTCAGACTTTCAGCGACTCGTCAGGAATACGTTATTGAGAGATTCGAATTTTAATAATGTCAGACATATGAATCTGCCCCTTTATAAATTTTCCAGATATTAGTTTCGGGTGGTATGGGCAATAAATGCCCATGAGAGTGCTATATTCGTCATAATAATCCTTTTAAACCACCCCACAGACAGCGATTCTAAAAGCACGTAAGGTGTTGCAGCAGGGTTCATATCCAGTGCAGCTCCACATGTTCAAATCATTTTCTAGTTTGGGGTCGTCTGCTGTATCTCCTGCAAAATATTCTGAAAAGTTCAAGAAAATTCATGCAACTGAAATTTCCCAGCGGGCTTTAAGAAAATGACAGATTAAATGACAAACATACATTTGCTACGGTCTGCCCCCTGTTTGCCTCTCTGTTGCTGCTCTGAAACCTTCCTCTAACAGGATTTCTCATTGAAGCTCCAGCAGCTTCTGCAGCACGGTTGCAATGTGCTGAAGAGCTCACACAGCACCTTCTCACCGCAGAGGAGGAGCGCCGCATGGGTCCAAAAAATGATCCTCTTAAATGTGCCAAATGTTAGGCGTAAGCAGTAAAGTAATAAAACGAAGAAGTAGGGGGAAAAAAAACAACACAAATAGGAGAAATTTAATCTGATGTGCGCGTGTCTAAGTGAAGAGGAGTTAAAGGGTTAAAAAGCTAAATACATTTAGATTTTTGATAAAGCTTCTGGCTCAGTGGCCTCCTGGGTGACTGCGGTAATTAGTAAAAGCACTGGAGGTGATGCTATGGTGAAGGGCTTTAGTCAATTACTTCTCCGTCCTTCCTTCTCCTCCTCACATTCACCTGCACTCCCTCCTACTTACTAAACCTTTAAGTGTGGAAGGAAAGCTCACACAAAATAACCGAAAGTACACTGTGTTTTCACTAATCTATAAAAAAATCTATAAAAAGGCAAAACATGATGTCTCAGGTTATTTTGAAATGCCTATTAATGAACAGCTAACAAAGGTTTGTGTTGTGTTGATTTACATAGATTCTGAACTGCAGCTATCAAATTGTCGATGTTGTCAGACCTCAGTTTAGTCAATGCTGCGTTCTCGTGTCTGCCATTTGGAGCGGCTGACATAGTAGTTTTTAATCCAATAAAACTACTTTAACAAAGTATTTTAAGTATGAATGGTTATTTCAAAATTAAGTATTTAAACAACTTGCCAATAATGTTATAACTTATAACAGAAAGCAGCTGTTTCTGTATCACCTTAACCATTGTGTTGTCCTCGGGTCAAAAATGACCCCTAGGTGTGTGGCAAACAAGAACTCAATATCCCCGTGGGAATCCCGAGGACGACACAAGGGAGCTGCAGGTGCTTTAAACAAATCAAGTCAATGCTGACTCTTGTCTTCACATAGGAACCAAACCCTTGCCTCTTAGGTGAAACTCCATTGATTAACCTGTAACACTGCCTGCGTTTTGTTTGTCACAGTTGTTCATACTGTCCGTGATTCCCGATATACATAAATATTATGAAGAAGTATAACAGGCAGTGTTACAGGTCAATTTCTTTTTTCAATGTTTATTTGAATTATGTCACAATCCTTATGTTTGTGTTTTTACAATTAATAAAGTACATTACAAATACACTTAGATATTCACCAGTGTTTCTGGGCTAGAGATTACAAGACTGCGGCGGTGACTGCAATGATTCTAGCAAACAGATCAAAACACTTTCTGGTCAGTCTGCTATAGTTCAGCGAGGCTGTTTCTTAATGTCCTGAAAATATCAGGCAAGTTGATTAGCCAGACAAGCTCAGTGGGGAAATTCAGGAAATGCCCTACTGAGAGCTGCTGATGACTGACGGTATACTACATATTCATATTAACCTTGAATGTCACCCCTAACAACAACCTCTATCCATTTTAAGTGGTCTCTCTTCAGGAAATTGGCTGATTACAAGGAATTTAAAGTTCTCTAATCAGTGGTTTATCAGTTTTCACATAAAGTCACTCCTTACTATTCAACACCCAAGACATGTGGGAGAAATCAATAAGGTGATGCAAAGTGTATCAACAGAAAGTCTTGATAGCCATCTCGCTGTTGATGTTGAATAATGCAAACCAACTGGGGTTTTATTTTCATATAAATTATGCAACACTTGCATGACAGTTTCTCCCCTTTGAAACACCTGAGCCTAAACTAGTGTGAGACACAAAAATGCAAAAGTTTACTCCACAGTAAAGTCCACGTAGCTCACACGTGCCCAAGGGAATGGCTGAGTAATCTGACAAACACATATTTAGCTATTTAAAAGCCACTAAGAATTTTATTCTGTGTCCATGTCAAGCTAGCAATAGTCATTATCCCACCAACTCAAAGGGTATGAAGCAGCGGTCTCCAACCATTTTTGCGCCACTGACACTTTATGTCCGACAATATTTTCACGGACCGGCCTTTAAGGTGTCGTGGATAAAACCAGTACCGGTAACAAAAAAAGGAAGATTTATTCATAACACACGGGGAAAGACCCAGAGAAACTGAGTTAATGATAAAACCGATTAAAAACAATAATGATAAAAAAACGATAAAAACCCTGAAAACCATAAATTTCACACCTGAGCCTCAACTCTCACGGCCCGGTACCGAACGATTCACAGACAGGCCCGGAGGTTGGGGACCGCTGGTATAGAGGATGCTATGTTGCTAACTCTGCAAAGTTAGCTTATCAGAAATATGCCACATATTGTTAGCTGTTAGCTTTAGTAGGTGCATGAAGGTACTTATCCATAGTTTCTTACAAATCACTGTACTGCTGACAATGGGAAACTGGCAAAAGGTTTTCTTCCACCTATAAAGCCAGTGGAAAAAAAAACTGTTTGTGAAAAACTACTTCTCACTCCGAAGTGAAAGTCCTGGTCTACCACTGCCTCCATCTGTTAGCAAGTTTATGTTATGGTGTGACTTTGTTGTTCTAACAACTGTGAAAGCTAATGTGCGAAATCCTCAAAGTCACACAATATTGGGAGTAAATATAAATCTATTTATGAAGTGCTTTTCCAGCCTTGCTGATCAGTCAAAGAGCTTTAGATTACAAGCCACATTTAACCACGCATTGATACAGCGTTTTACTCTATATAGTTTAAGCCCTTTATCGGCCTTACATCCATGGCCCTTTAGAATCATCAGTCAAGCCAATAGTTGTGTTTTTAGTCAGTGGGAGGAAACTGGACCACCTGGAGGAAACCTATGAGGGCACAGGGAAAAACTCCATACAAAAAGATGAGTAGAAACCAAATCAACAGTGCTAATCATTGTATAGTGCGCCACACATAAAATAGACAACACAATATAAGACCCAGGGGTCTGGGGCAGGACCCTTATAACTGAGTATATCGATCATCGCTGTATTTGTATTTTTACTCATCTGAAGACTTCTTTCATCAAAATGTGAATGCATAAACCTACTATGACAGTATATCTCAGCCTCGGTCAAGTTGTGTATATACAAAAAAATGAAATAAGAAAGCAAATAACTGCGCAGTGAACCGTCCTTGGCCTCTAAAGGCACACATGAAGCAATCAAAAAAGACCAAAGAAAAGTACCACACACACACACACACACACAAACACATATGTGCGCACAAATGTTTATGAACTTTCTGTTGAGCGGCATTCAGGGTTGGGAAGGGTTGCGAGGACATCTGTGCTTACCTCAACAGGGGCTGTTTAGGGCGCGGAGGCGGGTCACTGTCTTGACTCTGTGGAGGCTTCTTGGTCACCTGTTTATAAATGTTCCTCGCCGTCACCCCGAGCCACAGCATGGTTGACAAAGACGAGTAGTGCAGCACGACCCCGACCTGAGATTGGGTGACGGAGGGTGCATCAAGTTACTTCTTTGACTTTGCTGAACTTTTGCTTATACATTATACTGTAAAGTGTGTCTCTGTGAAAAATGTCAGACTTCATTATATCCCTGTAACTCAAAGAAGAAAAGTGTTCAGGATGAGCTGCCACTCCTCTTGAGAAAATAACCATCAATGTCACTCCAAGGGTGTCTCCACAGACGTTTTCCTTAAAGACCTGGCTGCTTTGTGTTATCCTCCACTAAAAGACAATAGTAGAATGACGGAAAGACAGGTTCAAAAAGTGCTATTGAATCATCAAGGTTGTCTAGGATAAGAGCAGCATAGTGAGGTTATACTGGTGGATACTGAGCAGCTCCTTATCAGTTGAGTTAGAGGACATGAGGTGTGCACCGTGAATAACAAACCTGAATATAAATGTCAGTCACGTTGACAACTATCAGCGTGTGATTGTTTTTCCAAAAACGCACTGTACACATATCTCCGTTCCTCGTGTTTTAATATTCATGAATTATATTTGAATGGGGAAACTAATCTAACTTTGTTTAAAAGCTTTGCTAGCTCACAGACAGAGAGCATAGACATGACAGTTGCAAAAAAAGACAGAAAGGAGAATGGATACAGAAGATTAAAATGCACTGAGCCTTTTCTTCAACCAGTCAGTGCGTTCATGATGTACTGGCAACCTGAGGTACCCAATCAAATGGCTTCTCTCCAGCACGAAAGGCCTAGAGACTCGAGCTACCAGTCCAGATGCTAATTGGAAGCGTCCTTGAGCTGGTTATAGAGAGCAGAGAGTGGGTGGTAAGTCAATCACAGCTTCAGAGTCCACACTCTTCAGAGCTTCATTAGTGCCAAGAACAGACAGAAGGCAAGTGTGTCTTTAAATATGGTTTTAATGGGGGAGGAGGGGGTTCTCATATTAACGTACGGAGCGTGACCTGTGATTGTTACTGGCTGATTAATGTCCTGAATATTGTTTTGCTATTGCAACTGCACGATCAATCAAATGGCAACAAAACTTTAATGTCCAAATCAGCTGAGACAAGTCAGCAATAATAAAGCGACACAGCTATAGTTGCCCATCTGGCAGTTTTTCAAAAAAATCACACACAAGCCGCAGTGGACCAATAGTGTGTGTGTGTGTGTGTGTGTGTGTGTGTGTGTGTGTGTGTGTGTGTGTGTGTGTGTGTGTGTGGTTAAAGAAACCCTATGCTAACATTTGTTTTGATAATAAAGCAGAATTTCTGGTGTCTTTCAGAACCGAAGGTGGTCACAATTATAGCTGTAACCATTGGTGACTGGAGCTATTTGTGACCATCTGTATTCGTTATTGAGTCTGTGAAAGGTGCATCATTTAGACTGGTATATACTTGAGGGACCTGACTTCTAAAAAACACAGCAATATTTTGATATTTGATGTTTTACTATTCAGAGCTGGTGTGTGCTTTCACCTGATGTGCCATTGTTAGCACAGAATCTGGGTAAATACAAAATTTCAGTCAATAATCGGATCAGTGAGCAGCAGCACAATGATCACACAGTTAACAAAACAGAAGCTGGAAGCAGCCCAGGAAGCCTGATCAATGTGTCCCCATTAAAACAGTCACTGCTTCCGTCTCCTCAAATCCCTCTTTTATCTCGTATGGAGATGTTGGTGAGACATGAAAAAATTAACACTTCACAAAAAAAAAAAAAGAGTGGCTTGATTTTGATTCGTCGGCTACTTTCCTCCATACATGTGTGGTCAGTGGAAGAAGAGTAGCAACTTGTCAAAGCACTAGCACATCCTTCTGCAGTACCAGTACACAGTGCAAGAGTGAACCCCAGGATTCTACTAGCTCCTAAACAAAAGCATCATGTGAAATTAATGTTAAATTAATAAGGAATCAGCGTCGTTTTTGTATTCTCACTAATCCTATAAGTGTCTTGTTGAAAAACTAAAGTAATAAATAAACATGTTTTTTCATCCCATAAACCACCATTAATGGTTAATAGAAACATTTATCACAAATGATCATAAATCATTTCTGATTTCGACTTATTTTCACACACATTGTATTTCCTGACCGCAAAACGTTTGACCAGAACTGTATGTAAACTACAGAGTATTTATTTTTTTTATAATTATAATAATTTATTAGACACTCTTTTGTATTAGATGATAGTAAAGGCAAGAAATCTGTTTTTTTCCTTCCCTTCAAGGTGACTGTTGTAAAATATATGACAGAAAATGAGGAAAAGCAGAATTATAAGGCAACAATAATATTGTAAGTCTAGAAAAACACGTGTGCTCTTTATACTTTCTGACTGGAAATCACAATAATCAGTTTCATAGTATTTTTTTCAGTGAACCTAGTCCTTGAAAACTGATTTGAAATTTGAATAAACATTATCATAGTTCTGGAGGGAAAAGAAATGTGGAAAATAACAAGCGATTAAGAATTTTCAATGAACTCTATACTACATTTTTATTTCAGTTAATATTGCCAGATGATCTGTTTTAAAACATTTGGCACAGACTAAAAGTGCGATATTAAAAACTAACTTTAAAGTCTTTTATCTTTTATCACATCTTTGTCATATTGTTTCCAAATTATTTTTGGTAACCAGTCTACTCTAAGCTACAGTATTTATGTACAGGGAAACTTGGGAACAGTCAAAGTAGACCCAATGGAAAAACAAAGCAAAATCACTGCTATAATGTAATGCCCTCTCTCGCTCTCTCTCTCTCTCTCTCTCTCGCTTTCACAGCTTTTGCCATCACAACTAATTTCACAGTGCGGTGCTAATTAGGGAAATCCTCTGTATAGCATCTTTAAGCTGACACTTGGATGTTACCTCAGATCTAGGTCATCCTTAGCCAAGTTCTTTTCTAAATTAATAGGTTATTTAACGCCGGTCACACTCAGTGAACAATCATCTGCGATGTGTAATCCAAATTTTGATGGTCTGAGGTAACATGAGGTAAGTCGACTGGAAACAGTGGTATACTGTATGTCGTTCTCCTGCTTAGCCCGGGCAAGCAGAAAATGTAGTGTGACAGCTAGGGTGTTGCTCAAATCAATGATAAAGCAAGCCTTGTTTGAAGAAAAGATAGAAATTGAGATTAGAGATGACTTTGACTTTGAAGCTGTAAAGACATTGGATGCTGCATAGCGACAGTGCCACAGTGGGTGGAGTAGCGGTGCACGACTGAAGACTGGCATACAGATAGAAGAACAGGCAGACGAGTATGGGATGCAGGTGTGGAAGGAAAAGGAGGGGGGGGGGGGTTGGAGGGGGGATGGGTGAAGACTGGGTGGGGAGTGCGTGCTTGAAGTCTTGCGAGAACTGCCAAATCTAGACTCAGAGCCCCTTGAAGTTGCTTAGTTTGGAGCGAGAGCATGTACTTATTTTTCCTCCTGGGAAGGGAAAGGGGGGTAAGTGTGTGCGTAAGGAGGTTGGCGGGGTGATCGGGGGGTACAGTGAATTTAGCAGGCAATGCGTGTATCCGTGTGTGAATCTGACTGTGTATATGCATCGGGAGATCACACATCTCCTCAAGCATTCCTGTAATTATCCCAAATTGTGTCTGGTGGGGCCTGCCTCGATCCCAGTGGAATTGAAGACAATCTGGGCTCCTTCCCAAATCTGCCAAGAGTGATTTTGCTAGCAGTGATTAGGTAAAGGAGGAGCATCAAAAAGTATTCAAAGGCCCCAGGACAAAGTTGAATAAATGAATGAAAGGTAAGTACGTTAAAAACCAGCGGCAAGGTCAGCTAAATTACACGGCTCCATCAGAAAACTCTGCACTGATATTGTGGGAAAGCAGGAGATTGTGTGTGGCTGCATAAGTAGAATTCAAATAACAACCTTTTTCTAACAAGAAATAGGTTTTTGAAAATAATAACATTATTTCTTGTCCTTTCAAAACATTAAACACTGATGTACAATTCAAGGACAAACCTAAAAAAAAGAGAAAAAAACATTTAGAGGCAACAGATTATTGCAACAAACGCTTAATTTAGTACATTTTAAAATGCTTGGGTATCTAATCGAGTGAAAAACTCAAAACATGGACACACCAGCCAAAGTGCTTGTTTACAATGCCACAACTCAAAATCATATAGAACAATATGCAGCTCATACTAAGTTTAGATGATTTTTTATGCAGATGACACATTCCTCAATATGATTGAACATCATTCATTCTTCTCTCCTCTGAAGCTTGTACTGAATGCTGAAAAGTCAATGTCTCCCAGGCACCTATACACTCAGTGGTACAAAAACTAAATTTCATCCAGCTTTTAAGAAAATGAGGAGTAAATGGCACAGAAACGAAAGATAACAGTTGAATTCTTATAGTGATGTTTCTGTGAGGACCACCATGTTCTTCTGTTAAGAGATGTCTTTGTTCTTACATTGCTGCATGGATAACCTTCAACACTAGGCTATGCTACATGCTAAAAATCTAATTGTGTATTATTTGAAAATATAACTTTGCCTTCATAAGCATTAGAAGAAGATAACCACATTCTCTGTTCATTAAGATCTGCAAAGGGTACATCATTACATCACTTCTCTTCTCAAATTTTAAACCACTATGCATCTGAGCAGTGCAAATAGTTCTGAACTTGATCTAAATTGGACCTTATTCGTAAAATAAACGATAGAAGATTTGAATTTCTTATCCCTGTGGGTGTTTTTTTATGTCAAGTAATCAAAAATGATTTGATGTGCTTCACTAGACAAAAACTAGTTAAGCTACTCTTGTGTCCCTTTCACCATTTCTCTAAGAGTAAAGGGACAAATACCAGCCATTTTGTGTCAGTTACCATCGTACGGGAAGACTTGACGGCTGTGACACAAGTGGTGACTTTTTTTAAGACATGCCTGTCAGCGAGCCTTCTGCTAGACAACTCAAGAAAAGCTGGCTATATTTCAGCAGAGGTAGAGTTGTTACACTATGGAATAGGAGGCCACCTAAAGTGCTTGTGACAGCAGAAGAAGGAGTTGAGTCCCAAATGTGTGATAGCGCACACAAAAAATGGAGCATCGGAGGCCAACTGATCCAAACAAGTAGTGACTGAAGACAGTCTAAACTGTGAGTGAGAAGTAGAAAAGAGGTGTACATCAATCTCTTTGTGGCTACATACAGTAAATGCCCCCCTGCTGAGGTGAACTGACAGTGGGAGATGCTCTGCTCCAGCTGATGTTTCATGCTCACTACTGAGGTCGGTCAAGCTATCAATCAAATGGATAGGAAATCCACAGGGACCATATGGTATTCTAACCATGTAAAAAAGTTAAAGGAGAGACATATTGTTTTTTATTCTCACTTTCATTCTTTCTGACGCTGTCAACTATCGCAAACATCAGAGACACAGTTCAATAACACAGCAATTATGTCAGAAGCCTCTTTGATTTTTCCAGCTTTACAAATTCACATATGTTGACATTTTAATTTAATATTTTTCATGGGCTTCTGTAAAAGTTAGAGAGGGGGATGTTTGATATATTGGACAAAGAGTGTTTAATATGGAGCTGCGAGGCAGGAAGAAAAAAGAAGATTTGCCAATATAGAGAAGGAGGACATGCAGGGGGTTGGTATAACAGAAGGATGTTAGAACAGGGTGAGATGGAGGCAGATGATCCACTGTGGCGATCCCTAAAGAGACCATCCGAAAAAAACAAAGTGATGTATGGAGGAGGCCAGTGAACAACAGTGAGTGTCTACAGCCATCTCTAAAACATGGTGGAGGCTTTGTCATTGTTTTGGCTGCATTTTAGCCAGTGCTGTCTGGGATCTCATCAAAACTAATGGAATTCTGAACACAGGGAAGTGTGGCGATATGTGGATCCACCACGCAAAACCATCTGGAAAACATCTAATTAGTAATGGCTTTATTTTTCAGCATGACACAGAAATGATAAAGTAAAAGTAGAATGCCAGGCAGAGCCTTCAGCTATTTGCGAAACCAGCTCCCAGTTTGGATTCAGGGGACAGACACCCTCTCTACTTTTAAGATTAGGTTCAAAACTTTCCTTTTTGATAAACTGTTTAGTTAGATGACCCTGAATCCTCCCTTAATTTTGTTGAATTAAGGCTTGGTTACTGGGGGCTTCCCATTGAGCACTGAGGGTTTCTTTTTCCCTCACTCTTCTTCATTCTTGATGTGTTTAAACACCACTTTGCATTTAATCATTAGTTAGTACTAAGCTCTGGCTTTCTTCCACAGTGTGTCTTTTGTCCCGTCTCCTTCCCCTCACCCCCAACCGATCATGACAGATGGTTTTGTCTTTCTTTCGAGAAGCCTGCAGAACTATTCCTGCAATCTATCCAAAGAAATTACAAGAAAACTTGCCCAAGTGAGATCAAGTTGTGCGAAGAACAAAGGTGGTCATACTAAATATTGACTTTAAAGCACATTACAATTTCACAAACTCTTTCACAAACTGCATGTCTCTTTACCCCTATTTCCCTTTTTTCATAGCAAAATATAAAGAAACGAGGCGTGGCTCAAGAACTTTGCACAGTACTGTATTAGCTTTATAGTTTCATTTTTGATGTGATTTTATTCAGGTATTTTTTCTGTTTTCAAGTTACAAACTCTGTCAAAAACAGCTACACTCTAAGTTCAAGTAGAGTACCAGAGTGTAGAAAGTGTTATTTAGATTTGTATGCAAGTATTTCAATATGAAAATGCAGTCACTGCTATCCAGGGCCTGTTTCTCTATCTATAGCTAGGCTCAGTGATTGCTGTGATGGTCTCCATTGTCATTCAACTGCCTCACCGTCTTTGGTCCAGCTAACCACATATGATTTACCTAAATCTATGCAACCCTCATCAAGGCTGTAGAGGATAAAAAGGGCTACAGTACCTGCAGGCAGGGACATGCAAGACCCGAGCTCATGAGCAGTGACTGAACTCTAAATCTAAAACACTTTCAATGATGTGAGCTTCAGGACTCATCTAAAAAGCACGCCATATACCAAATTAAAGAATGCCTATACTATAAGATTCCCAATGCCTCAGAGGAGTGAAAACACTTTAAGCATGCAGGGGCCCTCAATTTATCCAGGGACCATAATGCATTCAATATTTTTTACAGTAACCCACAAGCTCGGCAAAAAAACAAAATCTGCGCAGATGTTAGGTTGAGAAAAACACAAATCATGAACCATAAACCATCATACACAAACTTAACACATTACTGCCTTGTCACAGATAGGAGCGCAACATAGCAAACAAGTGTTTCATCAAGCAAATACAAATACTATTCAAACACGTAAAAATCCTGGAGCTTATTTCATTAAGTAATTTAAAAATCCTTTGAAACTGCTTTTACAGTTATTTATGAAGACAGACACGCAATCCACAACAATCATGTTGCATCTCAAGTACACAGACAGGGTGCCTTTAATGAAAAGCGATGTGGTAAATGCAACATTGAAATTTCCATAGAAAAGCATGTTTGTACAAAATGCTATTGACCAGAAAATCTTTTATATGCTAACAATTTCTAAAACATCCACAATGTTTGTGGCACAATGCCCACCACTAACCCCTGGGCAAAAAGAAAGAGACAAAGATAGACAATAGAGAGCCTGCTACTGAGTGCAGTTATGATGGGAAGGCCTGAATCATCCGCACTCACTAGGCCACCACTTTACTAAAAGAGTGACCAGACCATACATGCAGCTGAAGCATGAAAGACACACAAAGCGGGGTTATTGTACATCCACATACTGCACCCAGTGGCCTGGTTGCTGACACCTGAATAGACATTCACAATCAATTTTTTGAAAAGCTTTGAGAGTGGGACGAATGAAAAGGGAATGCACTTACTGCTTGACAGATGATGGGGTATTTGATTCGATTGATGCCGCCAGCAAACACAGCGAAGGTCAGCGCTGTGTGGAAACAGAAGTTGAGCAGCATATGCCATCCCTTCCGACTGATGCGGATTGCACTGCCAAAAAAAAGGTTCAAGGGAAAAAAAATTAGTCGATAAATAGTGATAAATATCATACTGTGAAGAGTTTTGTGGATTACCTTTTGTAAATTTGGTTGAAATTGTGTTACTTTCAGTATTATTTACAAAGGTCAGCATCAGTTTTCTTTATCATTTATCTCCTACCATATATATTAACAGTAAAACCTGGTAGTGCTGTCCATAGAAACCGAGTAGTATAAACAAAGTTTTATATACTTCACTACCAATACACCTGCTGAGTAGCAGATATTTAAATTTTTATTAAAAAAAATAAATCTATTAGCAGAAACATTGTGAGCTATTTGTATTCCTGTCTGAAGACAGTTCCACATTCAGATGGAGGAGCATAGAATTTTACCAGATTTCTCTTGAAGAACTTGGGAAGCACTATCCCAGCCAATCATTATCAACCATACACATAAGATCAGTTGTGGCACCACAGCACCATTCATTCTCAATGAGAAAGGGTATTGCAAGGGTACACTAGAAAAAATGCAACTCAGTTAAATGCTATTCACTTATATAGCACCAAATCACAACAATAGTTGCTTCCAGGTAACATTAATCTGGAAACCCATTAACTACTGTGCTGACTTAGCCTGCAACAGTCAATATTTTGGGGCCTTGGTTTATCCAGAAAGTCACTGTTTACAAATGCAAATACATCTCTAAAAATACTGGCAGTGGCCAGTGGCACCTCTCAGCCTCCAAGTAGATACACCAATGGTATCCAAAATGAAACTCCTACGTCGCTTCGTTCTGGAGTTATCGCATTTGCAAACTTAGATATCCACATCGCCTACGCGCCTGCCAGGGTGACAACAGTACTTCATCAGTCTTTTAACGCTAATAAAAAGCTCATACTTGTAAGACATTCAGACTGTTTATGTAGACACATGTAGCCAAAGCCTCCTGAAACTGAACATGGACTACAAGCGGAGTAAAAATGGAAACTGGAAAGCTTCAAATTCCAGAAATCTTGCCTACATACTCTGCATATTCATATGCAAGATATCTGTTGATAGAGATCACCATAACACAAAGCCAAAGATAATCATGTAACTATGTTCAAATATTTGACATTTGTGCTATCAAAAAAAAGAATTAAATGATGTCCCTATTATATTATTTTATAAGAAGACTCAGTATTGAAGTGCAAAAAAATACATATATCTCTTTGCATTGACTATATCAATACTGTTTGCTAAAAGCAGAATGAACTGCAAAAATCACATTTTTACAAGTATTTGCTACACAGCAAAAAGCAGTTCAGCTACTTTTAAGTTCATTCTGATTGAACTTTTAGAAGAATGCTATTTACAGCAATGCTGTTTGAAGTCTTGTGACAATAAAAAAAAGGAAAGTGCATTAAAAAAAACAAACCCAAAAAACAAAAACGGCCCTTTCAAAAAGAAGATCTCTGCATGTACAAAGTGAAAGACAGAATATTGTGTCATCAAAAGATACGAATGATTTAATTCCTTGCTACAAAATGCATAATGCTTATTTTAGAATGATGGACCTCAGGCAAAGGGATATTTGCAGATTCTTTTACAAGAATTCAATGTACATTCTTTCCACACAGCTTTTTTCCACCACCTTCTCGCGTACAATACATGCAGCATATGTACACAAAAGAGAATCAATCAGCTGATTTGATGATGAAATAAAAGGAGATTGCCTCCAGTTGGTCTGGCCAGTTGAAGTTTTTACATTTTTCATCTAAGCCCTGCATCTGTTTGTGAAATATGGTAGCAGCCACGCTCTGTGCAGCAGCACATTTATGTTAACCCAAACCATCGCTTTTCACCCCGCTGAAAATAAGCTGAATAGGTCAGACATTACCAACACATTAGTTGGACTGTGTGAATTACTAGACCATCTATTCTTTTAATTACTTTCCTACATCGGCTCCAGCCTCTTCAACCTTACAGTCACTGTCACCATTTGAAATTATATAACCATGTGCTGGAAATCTCCACTCCCCAAAATGGAGGAGCAGAGCCCCAGCTGCACGTGAGCCAACTGTAGATGAAGCAGTGGCTCAGCAGTGAGCCATGAGGTGTTTCTGGGGCCGGGCTTCACTGCTCTGTGTGAGGGGAGGGAGAATTAAAGCTACCGTTGTCGATGCCTCTCCTGCGGTCCAGGTACTGAACTCCTTCCAGCAAAGAGGCCATAAATCAGGCCGGCTTCAGGCCTCCCTTGAAGGAGGTTTTCATAGGCTCTGCTCTGGGCTTTCACTGGGTCAAGTACATTAACCTGGCAACCCTCCATGTCCCAATCTCCCAGTGTGAAGGGGGAATAAAACTGTCCTGACTTTGCATCTGCTCTCTCACCCTGTGTCCGGTCCTCAGCCAAATGTAAGGGACAATAAAGCTATGGACAGTGTAATATGACACATTATGCAATGAGTAGTTTGAGCCAAGTCTTTTTATTGGTGGCAGACACATTCCAAATATGCTGCTGAAGCTCCATAAACTATAGGCTGCAGCACCGTTACACAGTTAGATGGTACCCGCTGCATGGAAATGCATGTTAATTATGATGGAGGAAAAAGAGGAAACGTGGCAAAGGCATTGGGGTATATGGTTGAAATCTATTTCATATATGAAAATAATATAATTTGTGTTCAGTGCAATGAACTGTGGCCCACCATATTATATTATAATAAGACTCACAGAAACAGTAACATATGACATACACTACACTACCACAAGTATTCACTCCCCTAGCCAAGTTACATCCGTGGCCACAGGTGTATAAACTCAAACACTTAGGCATGCAGACAGCTGCTGTGAAAGAATGGATCGCTCTCAGGAGGTCAGTGAACTCCAGCATGGTACCTTGATAAGATGCCACCTATGCAAGGAGTACAGCGAGTCGTTCCTCACTACTGAATATTCCACAGTTAACTGGTAATGGTATTATAATAAAGTTATGAAAGTGATTGGCAACAACAGCCATTCAGCCATGAAGTGGTAGACCACCTGCTCAGGTGCATAATGTTCAGATGTTGCCAGCTTTTTGCGGAATCAAATGCTACAGACCTTCAAACTTCATGTGGCCTTCAGATTAGCTCAAGAATAATGCATAGAAAGCTCCATAGAATAGCCTAGCAGCTGCATCCAAGCCTTATATCACCAAGCACAATGGAAAGTATCAAATGCAGTCATTTAAAGAATGCCACCACCATACTCGGAGTGATGAAGCACGTTTCTCCGTCTGGTGATCAGATGGATGATTCTGACTTTGGCAGTTGCCAGGACCGCACTGTGCCAAATGTAAATTTTGTTGAGGAGGGTTATTGTGTGGGGTTGCTTTTCGGGAGTTGTGGTCAGCCTCTTAGTTCTAGTCAAAGGAACTTAATATTTCAGCATACCACGACATTTTGGACAACATATGCAGTCAACTTTGTAGGACCAGTTTGGGGATGGTTCCTTTCTGTTCCAACATGACTTTGCACCAGTGCACAGCGCAAGGTGGATAAAGACATGGATGAGCAAGTTTAGTGTGGCAGAACCTGACTGGCTTGAACAGAGTCTTCATCTCAACCCAACAGAACACCTTTGGGATGAATTAGAGCAGAGAGCCAGTCCTCCTCATCTGTCAGCATCTGACCTCATGAATGTGCTTCTGGAATATCCATCCATCCATTTGCTTCCGCTTCTCCTTTTCAGGGTCACGGGGGGCGCTGGAGCCTTTCCCAGCTGTCATAGGGCGAGAGGCAGGGTACACCCTGGACAGGTCGCCAGTCTGTCGCAGGGCCAACACACAGGGACAGACAACCATTCGCGCTCACATTCACACCTAATGGCAATTTGGATTTTCCAATTAACCTATCCCCACAAGCTGCATGTTTTTGGATGGTGGGAGGAAGCCGGAGTACCCGGAGGGAACCCACGCAAACACGGGGAGAACATGCAAACTCCACACAGAAAGACCCCGGCCTGATGGTGGAATTGAACTCAGGACCTTTTTGCTGTGCGGCAACAGTGCTAACCACCGTGCCACCGTGCTGCCTGCTTTTGGAATAATGGTCAAGAATTCCCATAAACACTCCTAAACCTTGTGAAAATCCTTCCCAGAAGAGTTGAAGCTGTTATAGCTTTAAGGGATTGTCTGGCCTATATTAAACCCTATGGATTAAAAATGCAATGTCATTCTGTTCATATGCATGTGTAGGCAGATGAGCGAATACTTTTGGCAATGTGTATGTATGTATTTGTAGAGGATATATAAGCAAGCAGTTGTGTATTTGCACATCCAGCACACTTGGAGGAACAAAAGAATTCATTTGGACTAATTTTCCTGACAAATGTGAGTCCAGAGTGCAATATTTGTGATTCACTTTTGGTGTCCATCAACTTTAGAAAATATGTATATTTTTATCTACTGAGTGCACTACTCAATTCACTAGTGAGCTTCACCACTGGGTTGCAGCTGGTTTAAAGTTTTCTTACTGCTTGCTCCAGCTGGAAACAATGCTAATGAGATCCTTGAGGCCTGAGTTGTAAGTCTGAGGTCTATGGTGAAATCGCAGACTGCACACACAAGCATTCTGAAAAACAAAGAAAAAACAAAGAAAAAAAAACAGCTTTCACACCGGCATCAGTTGAGATGCACAAGGACCGATCTTGAAGGGAAGATTAGCCAAATTTAAATCAGGTAGGGCTTGTGATTGTGCTGAATGGAGACCCATCATCTATGCTCCTAAATGACGCTTTTGAGATTGCATTGGAATATGAAATCCCTGTTTCAGCTCCACACAGACTCTTTACCAAAGCCTGCTCAAATATGATAAGACTACAAGCAGACGAGCGGACCTGAAAGCAGAAAGCTTTTGGGTCAAAAGAAGTCTCGATACAAATGCATATTATGCAAATTCATATGCAGATATCTGTTTATAGAGATAAACTGGATGGTTACTGTATAAACTGGAAATTACTGAAGTATTCCTCTGACTCTAACAGCATGATATCAGTGTTTTCGAATATTCACTGAGTCATGACTGTAAACACTTTTGACTCAAATTTCATCAATTGGACTCAAAGGATTTGGGGTTCAAAGACGTGATACCCACCACTATGTTCTTCCTTGGCTCATACATCATACATCACATGCACTCTTAATCACATATTCTGTCTTATTATCTTGCCAGCAGAGAAAGAACTAAAGCACACACTGTATTGCTATATTTATGCATGTGTGTATGTGTTAGTAAGCTGAAGTGAGAATGTGACAGATTCAACGTGCCCACTGCACACGGTGCCTTTGGACAGCCTCTATTCTATTCTGCCCATTTAACACGGTCCCAACGCTTCACAGCTTGGATACTGTCAGTCAGCTGGAGTGATACTACACAAGTAAAGTGTTACTAAACAGAGATGTGTTTTAGTACTAGGGAGAGCCTGGAGGGAGGTGTGGAGGAGGAGGAGGTGTTGGAGTTTGTTAATGTGAGCACTGTTGAAAGAAAAGCCCTCTAACCCTCTCCTGTGTGTGACAGACACCACAAAAGCTCTGGCATCATATCTTAAATATGGGCTTGTTCTCACTCTAGTTTAATCTGGAATTTCTGCATTCTTGCTCCGAAAAGCACTCTCTGATGAATGAATGTCTGTCTACTTGGCTTTGTTCAGTTTATTGGGATTATCATAGCTGTGTTATCGATGTAAACACAACATCTCTAAACTATCGTTTAATCCCGATGATGCTCTACCATCCTTATTGGAACAGCAGTTCCAACCAATTTTCTGCTGCATTTCAATGTTGGGGAGGAAGCAAAGTAAGCAGTGATGCACAGGCCTGTGTCTCCCTGGTTATCTCCTCCAGCTCTTCTTGGGGGAATATGAGGGTGATCCCTAGCCAGCTGCAATGCATAATTTCTCCAGCATTTCCTGGGTCTTCCCTGGTGTTTCCTCACAGTTGCATGTGCCCAGTTGGATATGCCTCTTGGGTACCACTTGGGCATCCCAGTGAGGTGCTGAACCACCTCAGCTCTTTTCGATGCAGAGGAACCGCAGCTCCTTTCTGACCTTCTAATGAATGGTCTCTCCTGGTCTTATCACGGTCTCTGCCTTTGCATGTAACTGTATCCCAGATTGCTGCTACGCTTCCTGCGAGTGGTGAGCCTACAGCAGGTTGGACCCATGTGGCTTATTATGTGCAGAGTCCTTTCCCAGCCCTTGCTTCGGGGTAGTGCCAAAACATTCATTCACCAGGCAATGTTGATATGTGCCAAGATGTTGTCTTCATAGGACTATTTTGAATTACACTTAGTCTGACCCCTCACCCAGGACCAATTTACCTTGTGGGCCAAGGTGCCCCTGACAACATAGTTACTGGGCCTCTCATAAAGTCCTATGCTCATTTTTGATCCCTGATGAAGTGATGGAGAACCTAAAACCAGCCCTGAGATAAATGCCAAAAACAAGACCCCTGGTAGATCCCTGGTAGCTTAAATAATCAAAAATCAAAATACAGGTTTAAAAATCCAATCCTTAACTATACACCACAAAGAGAAATTCAAATGAATTTGAATTGATTCTTTTTGTCTCTAATTCCATTTTGTGGAAAAACTACAAAATGCACACCAGTATCTGGGAATTGTTTTTTTCATTTCACTCGAAACCACAACATCTCAGTCTCCTGCCTCTATGGCGATTTCCAATTTTTCCTTCAAACGTCAATACTGCAGTGCCAGACGACAGCAAGTGATGCTGCTGTTTGGAGCCCCAGATGCTGTCATCACTGTCTGACTGCAGAAGGACCCACCCTGTCTCCATCCCAGGTGTCACAGATGGATGTAAACTGCGAAAGCCTCTGCGCCTTCGTATAGTTTAATAAATTCAGTTCAGTCTCCGTAAGAACAGAGACCCCACCCACAGAAAAAAACACAACGAAAATAAAAATCTTACTGTGAATATACCAGATAACTGTGTTATAAAACAATATTTTTTGAAAATGTGACATTTGAGATATTTCTTAGTTCCTTTATATGAAAATAGATGGAAAGCTATTACAATAATACCACATTAATGCCAAGGATATGATAAAATGAGTGATGCTCTACAAGAACAACAGATGATGAATTGCTGTGCTGAAACAATACGCCAGTCAAGCTCCCTCCTGCTTTAATAACAGCATTCACAGCAGATGAAACTAAGATGAGCAGACAGATGCCACTGTACAAAACCACAAGAGCCACAGGGTCCACTTTTTTATTTTTTTGCCCTCATCTCCATGCCGAATAAAAAGAACAAAGCTGGTAAAAGTACTCCTTAGAAATCCATTAGACGCATATATCTCTGCTGTAGCTGTCTAAAACACAGCTACACATACACACATTTGTGTATATGTTTTTATATCCTCTTAGTCAGACAGGCTGCAATACTTTATGCCAGCCTAAAGCATCTGACTCACACCACAGTCAGCTCAGGATCTGTGACAGAAGAGTCAAAAACAAGCATGAAGGTAAAAGGGCGGGAAATAAGGAGATTATATAAGCGTCTGCCTGAATGTCCAGATGATGAAGTGAAATTAATGGCTGCAATTTTAGAAATCGAGGCAAGACGTGCAGGGAGAGATTAAAGCCCAAATGCATACTTAAACAAAATCAAGGTGGAGATTTTCTTCATACCTGTGGTGCACTATGTACGTGATGATGGAGGCGAAGAGGCAGAGCAACATGACCGCTGTGCAGGCATACACGACCGGGTGCAAAAACTCCCCAGGGTATGGGGGGAAAGACAGCACCTTCTTCAGATCCTGAGGCAGAAAAAAAGGAGAGACAGAGGAAAATAATGGGGATCAGACAAAAAGTCATCATAAACACAGTATCCAAAAAGAAAAAAAGAAACTATCAAGAACAAGAGCCAGGCCTGCACAGTCACAGCATGATGAGCTCTCTATATGCATAAGCATAGTATGCTGCGCTGACGAGATATGCAGCCAAAATATAAATGAATGTCAAGGAAATGTCTTTGAGTTAGAATGCGGTCCAAATCAGCATAAAAGAGTAACAACCCTGTCGAGGGAACATTCTTCCTCCTGCATTTACATTTTGCATTTCAGACATTTAGCTGTCACTTAGCCGGAGCAACTGAATGCAACAATAGCATAAGCTTCCTTGTCTGCCAACATAAAAAGAAAACCCAAACAAAAATGGATAGGAGCCAGGCAAACAGAAAAAAAAGGAAAGAGGGAAAAAAGAAGTCATTTTTTGTGTTTCTAAAAGACGGTAATGCTATCACACATTCATTAAGCCCTTATCAACATCACAGTCGATTTGCTCGGAAATTTATTTACATAATGTTTTACAATCTGCAAGACAAACTTCTTCCGTATTTGCGGCACACATGGCGACAAAAAATTCCCAGACTTCAGACGCATTTTTAATGCTTCCATTTTATCGCTGCATGTGAACGGTTCGGATCTGCTGTGCACAGATAAAAGAGACAGCTTTAAAGTCGGCCCACTCGACTCTCGTGCGCTGGACTGCCCTCGCTTTGTGCCACGGGCAGGTGTGGAGCCAGCGGTGGCGTCATGATTTAGGCTCCATCATCTTGACGTTGCTAAATAAAGCACACCTTATCTCCATAACCCGCCGGCTCAATGTGAGGTTGTGTCTGCGAGAGTGATCCACAGACACGCTGTCTGACTGCATCATTGTCTCTATGAGTAGCCAAGTGGGATATTCCCTCTCTCTCTCCCTGGTTGTCTAGACGCAGATGAGCCTGTTGGGGCCTCTGTGGGGTCTCGACCAGCAAGAAGCATTTTTTAAACACAGCTGTAATGCAGTGGCCAGAGTTAAAATGAAAGGTTTGCAGAACAGGATGTTAGAGAGATGTAAAACAGGAGAAGATGCGATAGACGCGGCTCAATCGATCAATCTAATAAAGCTTTTCATGTGTGTTTAAGGAGGCAAAGGGAAAGACTGAAAGTCATCTGTTCAAGCTTCAAATTGCAATGTAACCTTTAAATGTGTTTTCTTTTCAGCTACAAGGTGCCACTGCGCCTATAAAAAACAACAACAAAATGAATTCTCTTCAAGGCAGTCACTGATCTGCAAACAATGCTTCCAGCATTTCAGCTATGTTGGATCTCTCTCGGTCTTCTCCTGACCACCTGCATATTAGTTATATTCCAAAACAGCAATCTTTTAGCTTGAATTATTATATCTTAGGGAAGATGATGAAGTAACACCTGTATCTGGTGGATGGGAAGGCAGTGAGCAGCAATGATGTGCGATTTTATATTACAGTAGAAATTAGCATTGATAGTCTGACCATGGGGAATGTATTGATGGCGCACAACACCACATGCCAAAGTAAATAACCAGCATACTCTTGGTGGCATCAGTTTGGACATTGCAAGCTTTTCCACTGATGGTTTCTATGTGTGCTGTGGTCCAAGCAACCAATGATCATAGTCAGCATGACAGTTTGGTCAGCCTGACACAGAATCTGATGTTTGAGATCCATGGTGAAATCATCAAATGTGGCCCTGGCAATGATCACTATGACTACCAGGGAGACATCCGTGCACCCACAGAAGGACTGCTAGAGGTGATGCATCTCAGCACGATGCAACAACTTTGACACACCAGACTATTTGTTGCACGTAACGATCTGAGAAATCTTCCACGTAAACTGTTTGGAAAAACGTCATGCCTTCAAAACATTAGATAACGGGTGATGACAGGGTGAGCCATCTTCCTGTTATTGTTACAGTCATATTAAAGACCCACAAGACATGGAACATAAGAGGAGAAAGCGGCGCAGCGTTGCAGAATTTAACTTATTACACCATCAGTGTAGCAACCATTCAAATGTTGTAAGATAATTCTCGGTGTCTTTCTAACGAAGACCGTGAACAAAAGTTTAATAAAACTTTCCAATCACTTTCCAAAAATACTTGGCAGGTGGTTGAATAAACCATCTATTGGTACAGCTATAACCTTTTTGGGCAGTAGCTCCACATAGCTTTATTGGCAATGGCTAAAAGAAGCGGTGGGTGATCATTTTAATCTGCTAAATGGACATCATCTCTCTGTAATCAAGGACTATATTTAGTTTGAAAATCACAAAGAACATTATCATGGTGAATTATACCACAATTATGCCAGAAAAGATGTCAGCATGCCCTTGGACTCAGGGAGACACCTGAGTTAAAATAGAAATAGAAATAGAAATCTCTTCAGCTGACAGATGTCTCACTATGTTAACTAGCTAGGAGCTAACTTGCTCCATCTGGTGCTATGCATGTAGTGGGTTTATGGGAGGTTTTCACTAAAAGCAGTTGCCTGCCTCTATAGACTCCACTATAGAGCTGTAGCTTAACTGTAACTTGAAAGTCAGGTGATGACTCTCTGCAGGTTTATGAGCGACAATGACAAAAAACATGACATTTTTAAAGAACTCTGAAAAGCAGTGGAAGACACAACAGTGTGACAACTGATCTGACTTTGACATATATGGCTTTGGAGCTTGGAGCTTGGACAGTAATGACAAGATGCAGGCATGGAAGGAGAGCTGGAGGAAAGTCTGCCATCAGACCTGAGCAAAGACATACAGAGCAAAGAAAGAACAGAGAGGAAGTGGCCTTTATGGGTGAAAATACAACACGAAGAACGCTTTCCAATTTGTTCACATAATTTGGTAGTTACAGATTTTCATGGAATTATTAAGTTTGAATGACGTCTTTAAGCGATGTCATGGAAGGACAAAACTGGTGTTAATTACAGCTCAATGAATTGATGGTGCTGAAAAGAATCATGGCCCGAAGCATCCGAAATCCTCCTGAAATGGAGCCGCCAATTCAGTAAGCTGATTTATGTACTTAAAAAGCAAACAGCGCTTCATATGAGTTTAGATCATGAAAATGAACCCCATGCAAACATCATTTCAACTTAAAAGAAAATTAAAAAAACAACAACATTTCTCTTTGAAATCAGTCTGCATTTGGGAAAAACTGGAAAAAACCTGCCCACACACACGTGATGCTAATCATCACATGTCACAGTAAGGGCAGCTCCTGTTAAAAGGCTTTAGGTGGAAGTCAAACAGTCTCATGGGAGCCATTATCATCATCATCATCATCATTTGGCTTATACTATTGGCTCATGTCAGTCTCTTACCTCCTGAGCCTTTAACCATTTCTCAAACCACTAAATAAACAGCTACTGAGCTGTTTCCCCCCACAAAATTCACAAGATGATATGCATGTTGCCATTACGTATTTGAGTAACACACTGATCATACAGTACCGTATTCTAGTACTCTTTTTATCTCTCGAAAGCCAGGCCTGTCATATTTGTTATAGAACAAAATGACTGGATGTGGATCTGAAGTTAGTGATGCTCTCTATGCAGCTACACTTAGCAAAACCTGGAACATATTCACTTCTTTATTGATACATAGCGAGGTGCCAAAACGTATCACAACAGATACGAGGAGGTTGTTGAATGCCGTTTTTATGGGAGAATGAGTTAAACATAAAAACAGGTGATGTGTGTAACAATGATTGTGTCTATTACAATGAAATGTTCTGCTGGAGAACCTTGTGTTCTGGTATTCATTCATTGTGTATGTTACACAGGACCTAATCTAAAGTCCCCCCCCCCCCCCGAGACTCTAATGGCAATTCCACTTTTCAGTGAAGAAATATCCCCACTGACCACAAGACATGTCCATGTCCAGGAACAGTAAAAAAACACAGAAAAAGCTCAAAGTGTTAAGCTTCAACATCCCACTTTCTTTGCATAATAACAATCTTGATACAGCAAGGTTCCATCATGGTTGACTTCCCAGTTGATCTGCTGCCAACATCTTGGGCCCAGATGGACATATTCAATTCAATTATATTAGTATATCACCAAATCACAAAGACAGTCACCTCAAAGCACTTTAAAATGTATGAAAAGACCCAAAATAATACAAAGAAAACCCCAATAATCAAAGGTCCCTTTTTAGAGCAAGCACTTGGTGACAGCAGAAAGGAAAGACCCCCTTCAAACAGGATGAAATCCCAGCAGACCCTGTCTGTAGGGAAATAGGATAGGACATAACATATAACCCTTATAGAATACAACCAGTGTACCTCCACGTGTATCTGATATGAAGTGATCAGTGTAAATAAACACAGAGGTCTAATAGCTAAAAAACATCAACTGACTTGCAACTTAACATTACCTTTAGTGTATTTTCAAATCATTTACAGCATGCCATTATAAAGAGTTTCACCATCTTTTCAAGCTTTTGCCATTGTGGCACATTTGTCCATTAACACCACGTCAATAATCAAGCAATTTTAGAACCTGCTTAATTTGCTCATTTCTTCCAGCAGCATACGTGAAGATACTTGAAACACATTTAGAAACAGTATTAGTTATGCAAATTGGATATTGATTATTAGCCTCAAAGCCCTGCTAACAGCAGAATGTACCTTTCCCAGCAGCCAGCTAAACTAAGACAGACTAACATCGCCAAGCTGCGCTGTTGACAGAGGAGCTTAAGATCAGGTGCTTCCAAAGCTGAACAAAGGTCTACACAGCTTAACCAGCAGACATAGCATTTGCACACAGGGCATCTTAAGTCAGATTCCTAATACGTAGAAGGCATTTCGTTTTGGTGATGACTGCCAAGAGAGCAATCATATTGATAATACATTAACGAGAGCAGAAACAACAATGTAGTTAGATGATATACAGTAAATTAATCTGCAGCAATTCTGATCCTTCATTAATCACAATCAAAAACACCAAAATA